GTGGCCTCACCACGTGGGAAATGCCTGCTAACTGGAGTGTGCGTGGCAGGCAAGGTGTTCTACTTAGAGCAGTTGCAGCTTGAAGCTGGCTTCCCTCTCTGGTTCTCAAGTGGGTCATGCTGAGTCCAAAGCCGACCTTCCCTCATCCACAACATGCTAATCGGACACCTGCCAAGTGCCCATTCTACTCCTGAGGAAGTACTTGATGTGATATGACACGTGGCACACATACACACCTGCACATATATACCACATTGGTTCGCTAGCTATGCCACTTGTCCGAGTAACTACCATGTCACCTTGACCACACTGCTTGATCAGCAAGGGCAGGAACCAGAAACCATACCCATTTCATTGTTGATCTCCTGGTGAGCAACAGGGCTCCATGAGCCCTAGGGTAAAGAAGGAGACCCCAGTATTCTGAGCAACGAACCCACTGTGGGCTGGGAGCACCGAAAGCTTCCAGAACTCCGCAGATCCTCACTAACCCCACAATCCAGGGAGCCTGAACATGAAGGGACCTGGCCTGAATTCACAGCTTTGTGCCAACAGTAGAGCTGTGCCCTGTGGTCTCAGGAAGGGAGGGACAGGGAAACAGTGAGGCGCTGAGGTGAGGGATGCCAGCAACCTCCACCGATCTCAGCTTCAATGTGAGCTCTCACTCTGTGTTTGGTGCCTGGAACTAAGCTACCCATTCTGCTGTACTGCTGGGGTCAGAGTAGGGCAGGAGGATGGGCACTATGTGGGGTGGGCTATCCTTTGTGTTGTCCTTGTGGTTTAGAAACCAAAGTCCAGATAGGACTGGGGCCCTGTCCAGAGCCTCCAGTCTTAGATTTCTCCATATCAGAGGAGGCCCCCATATGCCTCAGGTCAACCTCTGGGGATGAAATGGAAGGTTTGAAGAATCTGAGGATCCTGTAAGAAGGCAACAGGCCCAAGGACCAGAGCCCTGTCTCCCCATGTACAACCCCGCCTTGTCGTAGGGTCCTATTATTGTGTACTTGCCACCACCCACGTGGGGAGGCCATCACTGAGATACTATGGCCCAGAGGCCCAGGAAGGATCTCCCACAGAAGCAAACTATCCACATGAGAGTTAAGAGGTCCTCCCTTTTAGATGGGCCTCGGTTTACCCCTTCTAGAGCACCACCATGATTCACAACCCTCCAAAGCAAGCTTACTTCAAACTTCAGCTGCTTCTTGGAGCCGGGACCAGGGTCACTCGCTTTCTCCATTCTCTTCTCATCGCCACTGCCCAGGCTGTCGGACTTCTCGGGCGGCAGGGCCACTGCGGGGAGGCAGAGGGAAAGGGGAGGAAAATCAAAATCAGGGTGGCTATGCCCTGTCCTCAGGCCAAGAGTGCCGGGCCCCTCCTGCCCTGCCTCTTGGCTGTGTTCCATGTCCTTTGATTCTTTGGCCCCGATGATGCCACAGGCTGCCCCAGAGAACGCCTCTGTGGTGCAGCCACACCAGTTACTCAGGTTTCCCTGGAGCCTCTCAGACTCCCACTCTGTCCCAACTTTACAGCCTGGAATAGCAGCCCGCAGACTGAGTACCTGGTAGGGACAACCGACCACTTAGCAGGGCTGGGCCTGGAGAGGTGTTTAGGGGACTGGACAAGGTGTGGGACCTTAGCATTCTGTATTCACTGCTTCCTACACTGACGCTGTGGAATCCTCAAAGATGCTATAGTGGGCAGGGTAGAGGGATGAGAACTGAGTTAACCCAGTTTGAAGAAGGGTATATGTATATGTGGTGAAGGACATCGTGTACCACACAATGGCCTCTTCAGGGATTGCACTCACTCTGACCCTTGCCCTTGGCCTCTGTTCACCTGGGACCCTTCTGTCTGCAAAAGGGCGTGGTCTTCTGTGTGTCTGAATCTCAGGAGAGGGAATGTGAAATCTGTGGCCCACTGGCACCATTTTTCTGTGTCCAAGATGTGCCAGTCTGGCACCACCATCACCCTAGACCCAGAACCCAGGCTACAGGTTTCACCATGTAACAGAATGACCCACAGGTGTCTTCTGACCCTTTCCATGGGACACAGGGGGCTTCAGTTTACTTTTCTAGAAGATGCTCCCATCTTTTCCCTCCCCAAAGTTCCTCAGTGTCCTGACACAGTGACCTTGCTGTACTACTTTGAAGGGGAACAAACTGAGGATGGCTCCTGACCTGAGAAGGCTAGGTTGCCGGAGGGCAGACGAGATGACTCAGCTAGACCAATAGTTCCAGTTGAACCTTTTGGGGATGTCATGATCATGGCAAAATGAGGCACAGGTCAGGAAACTGGGGCTCTGTCTCCACCCCTCTCAGTTCACATATCCCAGTGTTGCAATGGGATATGTGAACATCCCTAAGCACAACAGTGAGAAGGGGGTACAGTGGGGGAGGGGCACACAACCCTTGCTTTGTTCCTACTTTCCAAGTCAGGGCTCTCTTCCTGGCATCTATTTGCAGCAGTCCACACGGTACCACGGAACCGGCAATCAACGCATGTGCGATGGACTCTCACAGTAACCGGGCCCCACCGCCCTCACTGGCTATTCACTGACTCTATCTTCACTGGGACCTTGTGAGGTGATTACTGTTATTAGCTCCATTTAACAGACAGGAAAACTGCGGCATAAGAATACTCCAGGCTCTCAGACACCACAGCCAACTACAAACTGGCCTGCAGCAGTGGTTCTGTCCCCTGGGAACCTCTCCTTTCTCTCTCCCTGCCTTGGCACAGCCAATACCCACAGGGGCCTCCAGCCATTAGTGTCCCGAGAGCCAACAACTCACTAACGCCATCACAATTGTTAACTGTGGAAATGCTCTGTTACTGCAGAGTAGAGCCAAAGGAGCACAAAACTAGAATGGCCACCTCCTCAGAGGCTCCAGGGGCCCAGCACGCTTACTGCCAGGCAGGCCACGGGCCCACTACTTTGGATTTCATCCTTAGTAGTTCCATCCTGATCTGACTTGTCAGAGATCCTCCTCCAGAGGACCCTGAATCCAGGAAGACCAGGCTGGAGACTCACCAGGGACTCAAAGACAGTCCAGCGCCAGCTACTCAGTCTACCCAGTGCCCGCTGGGCCACAGATGCTATCATGAGTCCAGACAGGGCGCGCAGTATGGCCACGCCATTCAGGCTCCGGGACAGGTGGCCCTACTGCTACCCCTTGAAGCAGGGAGCTCTGCTGAGCCTTAGCTTCGGATGCTACCAACGTCTCCAGCAGACACGGCTGGGCTGTGCAGGAGCACCACAGGTGAGGGGCATTTGGTGCTCCTGCTCTTCTGACCCAGGCAACTTTAACAAAGTCTGTACAGTGGGGGAAGGGTGGTGCCTCCTCACCCTTCCTGGTGATCCAGGGATGCTGGTCCTCAGCAGACAGCATCCTCCAGCCAGTTCCAGGAGAGAACTGTGAGGAGACTGTTGGACAGACACCACGGCAGGTGCTCAGTAAGCACTGACTGTGCCTAGTCCCAGCTGGTAGCTCAGGTCCGAACTTGTCTCCTTTGCCCCAACCTGCCCCTTTGCAGGAACTATAGAGACATCACAGCCTGCAGAACCCTGCTCCTCTCCCGTGCTCCTCCCCCTCCCAGAGAGAGAAGAGGAAGCAGAAAGCAAAACAAAGCCGAGTTCCATCTTCAAAGCCACTGCCTGGCTCTGCAGAGGTCCCGCTGATGCGAGCTGGCCAGGCTTATCGAAACCCGACTTCAAGTTCAAAGGGAAGTTATCAGACAAGCACCTCCAGGTTCAATGTCGCCTTTCATGTTCCACTTGATAAGCCCAAAGACAAGGAACCGCTGTTCCGTTCTCTCTGGAGTACCCTTGCTGCCATGCTAGAAAGCATGTCTTCCTTTGGGACCTCCCTGCCCCTTCCTTTTCCCCCACCTGGAGTGGAAAACATCCCCTTCTATCCTCATGTGTCCTCCCTAGGGACCAGAGTGGCTTAGGCTGTCCTCTCCTCCCCAGCAGGTCCCTCATGCTGTCCTAGCCCAACAAGCCCCCACGGTAGCCCCAGGTGGTCATGTCAGTGAGCGTGTAGAGCCTTCCGGCCTGGGCAGGGCAGAAATGAAGAGCAGGCCCGGGAGACATGCTGCCCCAGAGCTGTGAGGCCAGTAAGACTCCTTGACACTCTGTGCCCTATCAAAGAAGACCTCTCTCCTCTATTGTCCCCTGATCAAGTGCCAGAAGAGGAGGCAGAGAACCTACAGAAAACCATGCAGGCCCGGCGTCAGAGGGAGGGGCTAGGACTCCGACAACCGGCATGGGATTCGCAGATGACCCCTCTGAAACCAAACCAAGGCAAATGGTATTGTGCCCAGGTAGCTAATCAGTGCATCTCTACTTGGCTATGGCTTCTGGCACGAGGGCTAGACAGCAGCAAACTCTGCTCGTGGCAGGCCACCCAAGTCACATACGCAGGGACGATACTAAGCTGCCAAAAAGGACTCTAGTACTCAAGACCTCTCTCTGCTTCTTGCTCCAGACACATCTCCAACATATTCCGACTGCCAGGGAGAGTCACATCAGGGCACACTGTCAATGTGACAGGAAAAAGGTGGGCAAAAACAGCATGTTTGAGAGACATGGAGCAGGGTGCCAACTGTGCCTTGTGGGCCACTGGGCCTGCAGCCTGACTTTCTAGGCAAAGCTTAATGAGATAGATCACACTCACTAGTCTCTGGCTGCTTCTCTGCACACACGAGAGCTGAGTGACGTCATCCTAAGAGTCCTCATGCTCCACACAGCTTAAGAGGAGCTGTCTGGTCCTCTCTGGAACTTTGGGTATTACTACTTTAGGAAAAGGCGGTTCTCCGTTATCTTCCAGGGCATATGCTTGTCAAATAGGACAGCCTGGAGTTACCTGTGATTTACTGTTTGGCCAACTGGAAACCCTGTGTGGTACCCAACCTGCTCAGTCATTCATTGTGGCCACAGAAGAGAAAAAAAATGACATTTCTACTTTCTTAAAATTGCTTCTCAGCCCAGAAGAACATGGGGGCTGTTTGTGGGGCTCCTTCTCTTTGGAAGCTGCTTTCTGTCCTTCTCACATGGAGGCCATGGCCACCAGAGCTGGCTGGCTGATTCTGCAGATGATGGTTCGTTCTCTCTACGCATCAGCTCCAGCCTGGCCGCACTCCACCCCCAGCAACTGCCAGATTAAATGCATTACTTGACCATCTTCACCCGGCTCCCTTTGAAGTTCCCTTCTCAAGCTTCAAAATACCTTTTGGAGGGAGATCAGACAGCATTAAACAGAATTACTAATTAATTAAGCAAAGTTAAATTTTAAACACTGTTTGTTGTGTTAGCCAAAAGCCTGAACAGAACAGACTTCTTTCCTCCACTGAGATCAAAGACAGCCTCTTTCCCTCTCCCCTCCCCCAGTTTAAAAGAGGGAAGAAGGAGGAGGAAGAGAAAGGGAAGAGGCTTAGGAACCAGGGAAAGGTGGCAGCTGTGATTAGGGCCTTCCCCAAGGCCAACAGGAGGCACCCCTGCGATCACATGCTAGGAGAGTTGCCCATCACTTTCTGGGGACTGTTTACCCTGGCAAACAGCAGTGACCCAGAGAGCAGCCTGGCACAGCCCACCCAGCCTGAGCGCTGACAGCTGGCGTCACCCAAACAGCAGGGGGAGAAGAGGGCTAGGAAACCAAGTGGGCCCTCCTTGTGCAGTAGCTCCCTCCTAAGCTGCACGGGGGCATGCTTACCTAGGGCTCCTGCCCTGTGGCTGGGGCTACAGGGGTCATCTGGGGTTGCAGGGCGACAGGCTTTGAGAAGCAGGCTATGTACTGCTCGATTCCAGAAGTGTCGTCCACATGACACCAGGGACGTGCACAGTGTACTACTTCTGACATTTCTCAAGCAAAAGGCAGGCAGGTGTGGAAGGAGGAGCACTGAGCGCTGTCTCTTAATTGGTACAAATGCATTGGAGCTGACAGGGCGTGGTCTGCTTCCATTCAATCTGGCAATTCATTCTATAGAGTCCCATATGGGGCCCTCTGTCAACCTCACAGCAGGCTCTGTATCTGCACAGACAGAACATTAACTTCCTGGAGGCTGGTCCCTGGTGGCTGCTACCTCTGTATTGCTCACAGGAGCTGATGCATCTATGCACCCTTGCAGAGGAGGGAGTTTTCACAGGCATGAGCCCAGCGGTGCCGTGTCCTATACACAGGCACAGGTAAGGACAGACAGGTGCTGTCCATCCTGGCTTGAGCAACATGGAGGCTTGGTGTGGAAGGAGATGGTTGAAAAATGGGCACAAATCCAAACTCAGGTGACAGTGCTAGTTTATTGGAACACAGTCCATAAAAGCCCAGTTAACAGCAAGCTTGGATAAAAGTGACAAACTGGAAAGCAGGTTATGAGCAAGGCAGTGAAGATCCAACCTCAGTAAGGAAAGAGCAGAGATGACCAGCAAGCGTGTGGCACGCATTTTCAGGCAGACACAACAGAAGGGTGAGCACAAGCTGGAGCCTCTGCGGTGAAGTTTGCACACGCGCCCTGCCGTACTCGTGACCCCCCGCGATTGTCCACACAAAGATATCTGTGACAAATATTCTGCTCTAAGGGTGGCTTGCCAGGATGTTTCTGGGCCTCCAAACCTCCAGCAGCAGCTGTCAGGGGGAATGCACATGGATTTTAATATTAGCCTATGCCAAAAATAATTAGGAGGGTAAATCTGCGGTCGTGAGGAGAAAGATCGTGTGTGCATTCCAGGCCAAATGGTTTCTTGGATGACTGGCACAGGCCTCACGAGGGAAAGGGCTCTAGAGATGCACAGATGTGCCAGCCTGGCACTGCTGGTCAGGTTGGCAGGTATACATGTTGTCTCATTAAGTCCTTACTAACACAATGTAGGAGTGTCCCCATTTGCATTTCACAACACTGGGAGTGAAGCTTAAAAAGCAGAAGTGAAAGCTGGGCAAGGCGGCACATGCCTGTCTCGGGAGGCTAGGGCAGGATGCTGAGTTTGAGCCCTCCCATCCCCACCCCGCCAGGCTACTGGAACAGGACTCTGTACAGAAAAGAGATGGAGAGGAGGGGAGGGGAGGAGAGAGGGGAGGGGAGAGGGGAGGGG